AGACAGTGGTGGTGGATGGGTCATTTTTGACTTTGAGGGATGTGGGCAGTGGGGTCCTGCAGGGCTCAGTCCTCGGGCCTGCACTATTCAACCTCTTCATCAGTGACTTGAACAGGGTGCTTTTTACCCCCTTGTCCAAATTCACTGATGACACTAAGATGTGGGGGGGTATGTGGGCACACTAGACAGGAGGAATAGGCTGCAATCAGACCTAGACAGCTTACGGGGTGGGCAGATGAGAACAGTGCAAGGTGCTGCACCTGGGGAGGAAGAACTGGCAGCATACCTACAGGCTGGGGAACTCCCTTCTCGTCAGTGCAGAGGCAGAAAAGGATCTTGGAGTCATCATTGATGCCAAAATGAACATAAGCCAGCAGTGTGGGGATGCAGTCAGGAAGACCAACCATACCTTGTCATGCATCCACAGATGCATCTCAAACAGGTCCAAGAAGATGATCCCCCCCTCTATGCGGCACTGGTCAGGTCACAGCTGGAGTACTGTGTCCAGTTCTGGGTGCGGCACTTCAGGAGGGATGTGGACAACATGGAGAGGGTCCAGAGGAGGGCCACTCACATGATCGGGGGGCAGCAGGGCAGGCCCTATGAGGAGAGGCTATGGGACCTGAACCTGTTCAGCCTCCACAAGAGAAGGCTGAGGGGGGGGAGGGATCTAGTGGCCTGTTACAAACTAGTCAGAGGGGACCAGCAGGCATTGGGGGAGTCCCCGTTCCCCCGAGCACTACCAGGAGTGACTAGAAATAACGGTCACAAGCCGGCAGAGGGTAGATTCAGTCTAGACATCAGGAGGTGCTACTTCACTGTCAGAGTGGTTAGGATCAGGAACCAACTTCCAAGAGAAGAAGTGGTGCTGGCTCCTACCCTGGGGATCTTTAAGAGAAGGTTAGATGAACACCTTGCTGGGCTTGTTTGACCCCAGTACTCTTTCCTGCCATGGTAGGGGGTCAGACTTGATGATCTGCTCAGGTCCCTTCCGATCCTACCAACTATGAAAGCACACTAATTAGTTCGTTCTCCTTCTCTTAAATGTCATGTGAAGCACTGTTGCTGGAAATATTAAAATCTGCTGCTATTCCTTGGTTTTGCCAACACCAACGTAATTTGCTAGATAAAGTACCTGACCATTTCCCAAATTCTTAATTACCCCACTTTCATCATATCATTAAAGTCAACGAATTATTGAACAAAGTTAACATACCCACTCGCTACAAAACCATATGGGGGGGAATAAGATGCTGGCCCCCTCTACAAGTTGCAGGTATTGCAATCAACTAGTTAATTGTGCAATTACCTTAAGACAAGCTACACATGCAAAGTAGTGATCACACCATAAAAAGCTCCAACCAACTATAAAAGTTAGACCTAAAAACTGTATGCTAACTTTATAGCTGGTTGCTATTGAGCTTTAATCTGCATGCATAGTAGGGGCTCCCCTGCAGCTGGGATCCCTGTGAGCTGATGGGTCTCCCAGCTGCAGGGGTGTATTGTGCCCAGTGCAAAACTCCCAAGCCTTGGGGATCATGGCTGACATGATCCCCAAGGCTCATAAGTGTATGAAACCCCCAGTCCACATGGGGCTCAGTTCCAGCTTTGCTAGACATGCAGTCTGGACCTGATGGGGCACCCAGTCCCAGTTATACCTTACACAGCTGGGACCAAGAGTCCCTACAACTGTGATGGGGTTTCCCAGATGCGGGACCCTGCTTCTAACCAGTGCAGGGTTCCCCAGCACCAGGACTGGGCTCCCCCAGCACCAGCAATAAGGTGCAGTGGGATCTAGTGTGTGATCCCACATTCAAGTTCCCTGCTATTCATGTATGGCATGACAGAAGGCATGACTGTGTGGATCACACACTAAATCAAATCCAGCCTCTACCTGCACCTGTAAAGAGGGCCATTTAGTAGTCAAGTTCTGTTTTCAAGGCAGTTACAAGTGTCCAACTTTAAAATAAAATTAAAAAATATATATATTGTAATTAGGGTTTTGTTCCAAGACTAGGGAATTGTCTTGCCACAAAGGAGACCTGGAGTTTTATGACTGAACCTTGACTACTACAGACAGACAGGCCTCAACTCTGGCTAAAGGGTACTATCAAATGTAGTCTGGTAGCAGGGCAAGTCTCCAAAAGAGTAGTGACCAAGACAGTCATGGGGTTTGGGAAGAAGGTGCAGTGGTGCCTTTTCCTCATGCATGCAACCATGTATCACAGCTCAAGAACAGATTGTCTGTTTGGAGGATGCCACTGTTTAATAGTAATTTCTGGTTTTCTTCAACTCCCTCCCCCCCTTAAGATGCTAACATTTTTTACTACATTGAGAAATTTCAAATCCAGATACCACTCTCATAGACTGAAGCTCTGACACAAAGATTTTGGAATCCATGTTTCAGGTTTCATGTAATCAGGGTTTGGTGTGGCGTGGTCAACATGCAGGTCAGGGACAGCAAGTGGCATCTTATATCAGCTTCTGCCTCAAGTGTCAGCCAAAAGGCAATGGCTGTTCCAAGGAGTGGTCCAAAAAATAAAAAAAATAAAAAATAAAACAAATGAGAGAAAGGAGAGCGAGCCTATATTGCCCTATGTGTTCTTATCTAAAATCTTTGAAGACATTTCTTTCAAATGTGTGTTCTGCTCCCTTTTCAATGATGTTACAGCTCTCAAATTATAGAGGTGAGCTTTATTTTTATTTCACAGTTTATGGATTGAAAGTGTAGAATGTCTAATTACTGATAATTACACGCAGGGGAGAAGGGGAAGAAGGGTTGGAAGCTTACTGATGTTAAGCTTACCAGTGAATGGACGTTTTCAAAAGGTAGACAGACACTGCCCCTATCCGAATCTTTTAAACCAACTAGATTTACCTACTAACTGGTGGGGAAACTAAACTATATTATATTAGGAATGGAAAAATCCCATTTCCCAGACAAAATGCAATACCATATTAGAAATAAAAGTATATGTAGTACATTACTTGGGTTCAATTTGCTTTTACATACATACCTCCAACCCCAAAACAGGAAAAGTAATACTGAAGACCACAAAGATTTCAGTTTACTGTTCTAGCCATTTATTTTCCATTGAATGATATATATTTTGATGAATTTGTTTTGCCAGTATCTTTAGAGAGTCTTAAGAAAAAATATCCACTTAATTTGGCGGAATTATATTTATAGAAATGAAAACAGCCACCATAACATGTCACACATTGGAGCATAGGTCAAAAAGTGCATAATTTTAAATCCATCTTGCTGTTTAGTTCTCACATATCAATGACTAAAATACTGTGCGTTTAACAATAATACTGTTTTCACTGCAGAAAAGACCATCTCTGCTTGAGAGGATGCATCATACACTTTGGTAAAAATCAAATCATTCCACAAAGCAAACAAGTATTTGTTAGTTCTGCTCTCAGCACTGCTTGTATGGCTCAATGAGCCATGTCATCCAATACAGATTTGGACATTGTCCAGAGGTGTTTCATTTAGTACAGCTACTACAAAAAGAGTGATTTACCTTTCTGCTCTCCTCCCTATACTTAAATGCACAATTCACCACAGTTTGAACCAAACCAAAAATGGACTAGAGATAGTACATAGTGTGTGTCTCAAAGTATCTAACAAGAGCACAGGATACATTTCCAGAGGAACAGATGCACAATATAATTTTAAGGATGAAATAGCAGCTCTTCCTTTGCACCTGCTGCAGGTTTCACTTTAAAACAGAGCTTGGTTTACACATTTCACATTTTTATAAACATAGCAACTGACAGCACAGAGAACAAAGACATGAAAATGAGACCATTAAAAGGACTTATGGGAGACCCCCTCCTGTGAAAGGCATATTTGGGACGTCACTGGGACTGGATACAGTCATCTATCCAGTGTCAAAAAAGGGGCTACAGGAGATACTAGTGAACAATTTCCAAGAAGGGCTGGCAATTCTGATGCCCCACAGGAGATGATTGTAAGAAGAATAGGACCAATTTTCAGAGAATAGGGGGTTCAATACTCTTTCAAACCTGGCCTTTGCTTATAGTTTCAACTTGGGCATTCAAAAGCATGTAGCATCTAAAAAGTAACTGGACACATTTGACAAATCTCAAATCTTGTCCTTCATTTTCAATAAATATTCAAATGTATCACTGACCCCTAACTGAACCAAGTTTGCATTACCTAGTTCCACTGCCTGAAACCATGCAAGACATTTGTAGCATTCAGGCACTCTCTCATGCACAATCCATTTTTCACACAGTGCACTGGACTGCATGGCAGAAGCCTTATTTAGCATGCAGTCTCAACACTGTACTATAATCACACCACTGCACAGTTGGTTGCACATGAACTGTTGCTTGTACCTTCAGCAAGGGGAGACATTTCTTTGCATTCAATCCATCTTGCACATATTTCACGATAGTAATCAGTACTCAGTTTTAAATGCAGATCCCAATGGGCTAAGCTGTAGTAACCCTTGGTGTAGGTATGACAGATGTAATAAGACCATCTAACAATTTGTTCAGAGGAGCTGCAAACCTTTGCTGCTATAAGACAGTAACAATGCATATCGTCATGACAACCACTGTAAAAGCCAAATGCTTATGACCTTTCTACTCTACCTCAAAAGAAACCAACATATAGGTAATATGCCTGGTAAAAGATTTTAACCACTGCTAGAAGACAGGGCATTGTAACAAAAGCCCACTAGCATTCTGGTCATAGAATGTGAGAAAAAAATATCGTTTTAAAGTTAGATCTTTTAATCTTTTAAAAAATGAAGACTATTGTGCTGTGCATAGCCACTTTGATGGGTTAGACAGAATGACTCCCACCTCTTACCCCTCCCATTTTCTCTTTGTTGCAAGAAGTCATTATAACTGACTCTGGACAATGAAAGCAGGGAAGAGCATCTCTCACTAAATTTGACAGGGAACAGAAAAAAAAACAAATGGACTTTCTATCCTCCTGTGTTTTTTAGTCCAACAGAAAAAACTGAGAATGACTAAAATTAGTCAAGCTGAGGAAATTAGAGAATTAGTCCTTTAAATTTTTTTGGTCCTAAAAATTGTCAACTGGGCATTTCTGCACAGCAATGCTATACATTTAATGTGATTGCATTTTGTTCAACAAGATTAAATTTATACCTTGGACTGTCTTCCCTGGCTAGCAAAGACTACAACAGTGCCTTAAAGGCAGTTCACTCAAATTCAGTTTCCCACACTTATCTCGTCTGGCCATCTAAATCCAGAGTAGTTAAAAAGAGTCACTCTAGTGTCAAACTAACATCTGAACTAAGCTTAGTGTATTACATTTGGTTTCTTTTAGCTCAAAGCAGAAAGGTGCACTTAAAGGCACTAAGGCAGAATGCTCCCAGCAACTTACAGTGGAGTTTCAAATTAAAATGCACAGTTATCACACTTAAAGATGGCTTCCCTTAAGAAGTCCACCACTGAAAAAAACAACACAGGATGCCTCCACTTGTGTAGCAGAAGCTAAAAAGCCATGATCTTTATCTATAAAAAGTCATTTTATTCTGTACATTTTATAGTCTTGATTTCAAATGAAGGGACAAGTCCTTTTAAGGCAGGGAGGTTACATGTTGCAATACTCAGACATTGGTATACAAGACATTTATTTGCAGTAGGATGGAGGACAACAATGGAAGAAATGGAGACAAAAACTGGACCAATCTTTTACTATTAAAACTGTTCTGACAGCAGTTCACATAACCTCTGAGATACAGCTTCTTTACTTGTTCGTAGGGTAAGCCTGTACATCTGAAAGAGAACAGGACACTATTAAAATAGTAAATGAGAATTCGGATGGACTGATCAATAAAACTAATGGAGTTAAAAATGAAAGTTCCATTTGGTAGCAAATAAAGGCGGCATATAACTATTCTCAATATTAGGAATAAAGATCTTTAAATGGTCAGTCATTCATTGTGCTCGAGTAGTCTTCCAGGAACAGCTTTTTACCTCAATGATCAATGTATCATCCCACTAGGCTTCCCCCAGATCTAACCGTTCTACAATTCATAGCTTCTCCTTTCCCAGACATTTTAGATTCTTGCCATCTTCCTTTAGTAAACCAAGACAAGATGCTTTGTCAACAGAACTGCCTTTGAGCAAAATCTGAAGCATTGTCTTCCTCATAAATAATCTACCCTTTTTTTTTTAAACAACCACTGAGACTCAAAACCCTTAAATCTAGGGTTTCTTGAAGTCTAGGAACCACAAAATTTGAAGAGGCAGCAAGTATATAATCTCAGATCCTACACAGTAGAAAAAGCATCATTCCCGCAGTTTTACCTTCTGCAGATTGACCGTTTATACAAGCAAAAGGTTTTCTTTTCAGTTAGAAAAAAAAGAAATAAATGACAGTTTGAAACATTTTCATGTCTGAGTAATGTAATAATCTTCAAAAGGGTACCAAAGATCAGTAGAAATGTGGTGCACTTTTACAGTAGAAGAGATGCATCTTGATGGTACGTTTTCCAGAGCAGAGCCTCAGGGCAACTCAGAATGTATAAAGTAGAAGCCGCCACCGGAAGCTGAAAAGTAAACTTGACTTCCAGTAGATTAAAGCCACAACCAGCTGCTTCTCACTCCATTTGTCATGTCCTTGTGACATTTAGCAGAATTCGCAGATTCATTGGAATCTGACAGGCCATGCCATGAGCACTGCTGGTATGGCCTTGAACTTGCAACTTCTGGGCTCTCAGCTGTACACCCTAGGTAGCTGGGCACTATTAATTTACTGACAACTAAAATGACATCAGTAGCTACTTTTGTTCAAGATGCATCTGTACAGCTGCATTGTATCAAAATAAGTCTTGTCCATCTATTTCAAGTTCAGGCTTACTCAGCCTGCAACTATAAAAAGCAAAATACCTGTGCCTGCAGGTTGGGTTCAAGACGCAGCAAACACCCAATCTGGATAGTTTTTGTATGTATTATGCCAGCACCAACAAAATTAGCAGGGTTGGGGTCTACCTCTTCCAGCAGGGCAGAACCAAAGCCAATGATCTATCAGAGAAACACAGAACAGATGCTTTATTTAGCAAGACACTGGTGGAGCAAAGCAGAAGTACAGAGTAAGGATTTCATTAGAGTTCTAGGCCAATTCACCAAAGCATGGCCACAGCATAATTCACTCACATAACTAGGAGATTTGTATTCAAAGCAATTAGGATTTCAAACAAATGTTAACCCCCAAAATTTCACAATCTGAGTTTTTAGGATGGCTGTGTCCCACCACCCCAAGCTGTTTCAGAAATAGCAAGAGAGTTTACACAAAGAGATCTCAGTAGCAAAGTCTCCAAATTCAAATCACAAATCTGGTCCTTACCATAGTTTTGAAAGCTGACATTTTTCCTTGGAGACAACTGCTTCATGAGATATCAACCATCACCCTCCAGTAGAAAGTAGCATATGAAAGTTTCTTCAAAAACAATGCCACAGGTGAAGTTCCTGTTAGCTTACAATTGTTTCAAGGCTCTTTAAAGTGGTTAAGATTTTTAGAATGGATACCTCATTTTGCAGATTGATCAAAAAATCTATAGACTAGCAATTCTCAACCTTTTAAGACTCAATCACCCCATGTCAGACTTAAGGCACCCCTCCAACTTTTGGAGTTAAGTGGCACCCCATTTCAAAAACAAAATTTATTACAGAGCTTGCCTCCTTGCAGAGGGGACAGGCAGTGGAGGTAGGGCAGCAGCTAGGTAGAAAGAGCCTGAGCCTGCCCTTATCTGCTTATCTTTTCACACTTCCTTCAGTACACTTCAAGGGATCTCACAGCAGCCCAGGGTGTCTGGAACCTCTGGTTGAGAATCACCGGTATAGATCTTACAAAAAAGTATGCACTGAAAAAGTGTAGTTGCATCTATTAATAGCAAATTTGCCTTATGGGTTTCAAACTCAAATCAACATGACCCAAATATCCTGAATATCAAAGACAACCAGTAAAAATTTCAGCACCAGTACAAGAACACATAAATGCCACTGTCCCACTACCAAGTGGTGTTTGTTAAAATACCATGGTATTACCTACTTTTGCTTTTGTGATCTCTGTATCCATTGGATGTTTTGCTTTAAAGATGTTCTGTACTTCTTGCTTCGGACTGTGAGAAGATGCAAACAAACAAACACAGTGAATCATGTTATGCACTTCACATTAGTATTTACTGACGTTATACCACTAACAAGGTACCACTCATACACCTTAAGTAAGGAATATGCCTGCCTTCCCTCCTCCGCCCCCCCAAACATGCACACTCCCTGAGGAACACAGTGTGCTCAAATCTTACCTGCTCAACTGCTTCCAACGCTGGAAGAAGTCTTGAGAAGACATCTCTGTAGGCTGAAAAAATTTATTCAGCGTGATGGGCAGTTTCACAGAAAGATTCTGAAGTGTTCCCCCATACCTAAGTTTAAAGGTAGCAAATGGGTTGAATATTAACCTTTTACATGTCAAAAGCAATTTAAAGAAGCATGCTATTGAGAGGGACTAGATTCTCTTAAGAGAATGTT